GAACTAGTTTCCTACAAGAAACAAATGCATCATGAGAACAAATAACATTTGGTATGAAATCGTTAGGATTTGGTACTTCTGGAATATTTTTCTCAAATTCATTATGAGTTTCATTGGTGAATAATGGACCATTAGTAAAACCAGCATCTAACAAAATCCTATCAGATTTGTGTTCATGATTTGATTCATTCGGCATATCTTCCTCACTTTTATAGGAAAGTTCATCAGAAATATGTGCATCATTAAGACAACTGATATCTGGTGAACAAACATGAGAAATCTGATAAATTTGACTGCAAAATAGACCACAATTTGGTCTCGAAATACCCAAGCAGTACTTCGAAGAAACTTTAGACTATCAACGTAGGTGATCGATGTTGAATGATTGGAGGCTTACTCAAGTTAGACCAATCAGCTAACGTCGAAGTCATACCTGACGGTTAGCACCTAACGTGGATTACACCTTCATTGTATCCAGGTACTATGGCTACTTTCATAAACGTACAACACAAACGACGGTATTACAGAAATATATTAATATGAGTATTACAAGGAGCGGAGTGCGACCACTGTTGCATGAGCCAGTTCATGACATGCAATTAACTGATGCACATGGGTTGTATTTGGCCATGATGAGGATAGGTGAACTGTTTGATATTCAGTGACCCGACTGCCGCATGATTCGGTTAGAACGCAATGACATTTTGCTGGTCCTACAAAAACTTTTGTTGCTACAAGCACATGTACATCGTGAATGTAAGTAACCTGTATTGATGATCCGTTTACTTGGTCTAGTCGGGTATGGTGTTTCCCCCTAGTTTACTTCGAAGTCGCACTTTGTGGTTGAAATTTAACCAAGCCTATCCTAACGTGGGACACATGTCAACCGTTTCACTTGGTGACATATTATAATAAGTAGCCTAACAGGGACAACATCATATATTATGAAAATAGATTGTAGAAATACAGAGTTGGACCAATGCTCAATGCCTCATTCCATGACGTGCCAACGAATAATCTTCGTTGGTCACTCTTGATCATGATGATGTCCAGTATCCAGTTCGGCGTTCAGTGATCCATCACCTATCTTAGAAATGCCTTAGCCTGGTGTATGACTTGGTCAGACTCAATGACATCTCACAGACAATGAACACACTAAAGTATTGTGTTTTGATTGGAACTAGGCGCCCAGTCATGACGAAACTGATAATAATTTTTTGTAAAAGCTAAATGTGGTACATTTATTCAGCCATTTCACTCCCTATTTATAGTTCTGGTGTTGACGCAAATTATTCTTGTAATAATATTACGCATTTAGAGAGATAAACGCGCCCTTAGTATTTAACCAGTGTTATTTGAACTGATCGGGAGACCCTGAATTTTGTAAGACTTCGTCAAATACGGTTATCTCATCTGTGTGTTGCAATTCAACAAGTGAGTCATCTGGTGGAACATTAGTTTCTAAAAATACAAACAATGAGAGCGCCGTCTCCGAAAAGATGTTTATAACGAAGCCAAATAAGAGTGGGTAGGGTAAACAGCCTCAACGAACACTCTGGAATTGTCGATTCCGATTGCAGTTTTCCATAATCTATGAACACAATAAGTGCTTACGTAAAGAGACTATACAATGTTGTGTACTTTCTTGGACTTTTTCTATGAAGCAATAACAAATATGGTATGAAGTCTAGTGAAAATCGTTTTGTTGACACAATAACATTACACACGAACATACGCGTTTGTTCTGTTTGCACAGTTTTCTATGGAAGTTCCCGACATTCTATATTTATTCATCATAATTTCCAATACTGTATAACATGAAAGCCCCAGCAATCAAATGTGTCATTCACTTTAATATTAAAACCGGAGTTTTCTTTTAATATGCACTCAAATATTATGAAATACTGAAGTCTGTCAACACACAATACAAAACAATACTATACTATGCTACACTATATAGTGTGGTGTGTGCTACTTATATTGACATAAGTAGTATATAATGTTAGTCGTGAACAGAATGTATGGCAGCAGGGAGAAAAGAGGATCGAACAGTAAAGAATGGAAACAGGATGCAATTTGTATGAAAATACCAAAACAATGGAGTTTGAGTCATTTTGAGACAATTGACGGACATTTTGCAAATTAAGCATCTGCTTTATGATTGTTAGATTTTATTAACAAGTCCTCACCACTTATGTTTATTATTATTATCTTCAACATTCAACTGCTACAAAACAGTCTAGTTGGCCTTCTCTGTCGGTCACAAGCTAGGGTAAAGGAGGAGGGTTGAGCGTGGGGTTGGCAACCCAGTGCTGTAGAAAAGGTCATGCTAGAAAACATACGGACCAAGCACACAAAAAATGCACGGACATAGTCAACAAGACCACAGATAACTCGGGCACGCAGGAGGGTCAAAGATTTCCTGGCCATGATAAAATGACTGAGTTAATGGATAAAGTTGTTTATTAAAATAGACTGCATAGAAATATACGAGGACTACTGCAGGTGTCTTTCGTTTAACTTAAGACTTGGTATTTTAATTACACTCTTTGTCTAGTAAGGCTATTTATATTTACATATGTGCAATTATACGAAGAAAGTCGAGAACGTTTCCATAAGTAATTCCCGAAAACGCCTTTGCACCTCAAATCGAATTCAAATTATAAGAAATAAACATTTGAAACTAGGAAATAGTGGACAGGGATTGCATCCTAGTTTAATTATTAAACTACACACAACCATCTATAACTACTATCAAACACGTTGCTGTTAGATATCATTTTTAGTAAATATTTTATTACCAACATTATTTATTGAGATATACCCTCTTCACCTGGTATCAATAAAAATTAAGTTCAGCACTTTAAAATATTCAGCTAAATGTATCTCCAATAATCACAAGGTTAAGGTCGTTTATCGACTAACCAGTGAGTATCAATAAACTGATTTATTGAAATTTATAAAACTAGTGAATAATCATTTAATAGTAACGTCAATACGTTAGATGCAACTTAAAGTAAGTAAGTAATAATTAAACCATTCCTTATTCATATTATTATCAAATATCATTTGTGATGATTAGGAGTAGTTAAAATATTAGTACAAACTAAGAATCCCAGAAATAACTAAGAAGAACCATATGAGCACGAACAAACGTATTGTATTTATAATTCGAAATCAAACAGTCATCAAGTGCAAAGGAATCGTTAGTTCATACAAACACCACATCCGCCACATCGTAAATTGGAATCTAAGTTTCTGTAACCAATTGTACGTCTTCTTAATTTCATCCAATGTCTGTTCAGCAGTGTATTGGATATAGACTCTACACTATCTAGAATGTACTCATTAGTATTAGAGTTAATAACTGAAATTCGAACGGACTCGTCTGTGTCCTAGAATTGTATACAATCACCATGTCGGTTGTGTAGTGAAACTACGGATATCCAGAATTTGCATGATAGACTTTCCAACACTATCCTCCTCCACGAAGTAATGTTGGGTTCTTACGTCACAATGTTATTAACAATTTGACGTTCCTAATTTGAATTATCTTCAAATATCTCACACTTCAATTATTACATTATTACATATCTGAGGAAACTGGTTCTCTGACTACTTCAGGAAAACTTGCTATTTCCTCTGATTCATCAAACCACTGACCAGGGATTCTGCTCAACACATATTGGCTGCGAGAATATCCGACATCTGATACAATAACATCAGGAATGTGACTAGAATTCGACTCATTCGGAACATATTTGTCACATTCATTAGGGATATCACTAGAGATAAATCCATTGTGAGAACAAATGACATTTGATGTGAAATCGGAATTTGATTTTTGTGAAATATTTTCCTCAAATTTACTAAGAATTTCATTAAACAATTATCGATCATTACAAAAATCAGCATCTATCAAATCTGTATCAGGTTTTCGATCATGATATGATTCATTCAACGTATTTTCCTCAGATTTGTAAGAAGTTTAGTCAGAAATATGTGAATCATTAGGGAAAAACCATATCCGGTACAATTACATGATAAATCTGATAAGTTGGTTGATTAGAAACACAATGATTCCGAGTTTCATCTGACTCTGGACTGCCATGTGACTCTATACCGCTTTTTGAAGTGTGGATAAAGATGAATGATCATTAGAAACACCCAAATTAATGGGATCGCAATTACAAATTTTAGCATTAGTTGCAGTCAAGTGAACCGTAGCATCACAAACCGACTGAATGTGTCCAATCTCACCACATTTAAAGCATTTAGAATTACAAAACGCACATGAATTACATGGGTGAAACTTGTCACAGAACACGCATTTACCGAACTTGCGCTCATCTTCGTGACCTGATTCGCAACTTCTCAATGAATCGTTATATGAATAACATAGATTACGCTTTGGACTAGGACGAAGTATTAAAGTTGTGAGATTCCTGATGTCTTGATGAATCGTTTTATGAAATTTTTCTCCTTTACTGCATTCGAAATTTGTACACTTTACATGGTCTAGTAGTAGTTACTTGAGAGTTGTATAAGGGAGCGAAATCGGCTTGTCTGGAAATGCCAAAGTTTTTATTAAGCTATATGCTACTTTTCCGATCAATATTAACATCGTCAACATGTTCCTTGTTCACGAACGAACGTATTGCATTTGGAATTTGTAATCAAGCAGTCATCAAGTACAAAGGAATCATTAGTTCATACAAATACCACATCATCTTTCATTATCAAGTGTTTCGAGTATCAGATGAAATGCTCAATTCAGAAATTATTATAAAATTTAAACTCTTACCAACTAAGTTGGTTTCATAACATTTCTTATTTGTGACAATTTCAAATGAGGAGAAAATGATGGCTAAACCTAATTAAATCATCATTATTGCATAACATTTGAAACTGTCTCAAATAGCTAGCATGTGAATTCACGATTTTGTAAATACTGTTTCAATGTACGTTAAATGATGGTATGGTTTTGTTTATTCAAATAGACATGAAAAATGTTGATTTAATTGTTTTACGCGCAATCACAACTCAACAAAAACGTTTGAGTTTAAGTAATAAAAAACTTTATCATTTACCATACAACATTGGATTTCTTAACTGGCTTGTAATATTAGATCTACGTTCAAATAATTTATCTGATCTGCCAATTCTACCAAAACATGTGAGTTTGTCCCTTTCATTGTTTAATATTCTCTATTAATTTATTTATCAGCTACAATCGATTAATTTAGGTCACAACTGGTTTACAACAATACCTAATTCTGTATTTGAATTGACGTCACTCAAATCAATCAGTATGTATAGCAATCAACTTCAATCTATTCCAAGTACACTTTTCGGTAGTTGATATCTACTAAATAACTTAAATTTTCTATAGAACGGTTGGTTAATCTTGAATACATAAATTTCAATCATAATTGCATTAATGCACTAAATGACTCAATATCCAAGTATAAAAAATATCATTAATTTACTTTGTTTAGTTTAGCCCATTTGAAATACTTGTCGAGTTCTCATAATAAATTGACGACACTACCAGAGTCAATGTGTTCAATGCTCAACAAATTAGAATATTTAAATCTAGGTTATAATCATATTTTGACATTGCCCTTTAATTTTGGTCTACTACAAAATATGAAAACACTTCTTTTACATAAGAACTTTTTAACACGATTACCTGAGGTAAGTAGTGTGATATTTATTTAGAGAATTTGGATTTTAGACATTCGGGCAACTGAAATCACTAACAGTTTTAGACTTAGCTGGTAATAACTTACAACTTTTACCATCCAACGTAAGTCACTTTATAAAATGGGGTTATTTTATGAGACTACACTTTATGATGAAATTCGCTTTTATTACTATTCAACAACTGCTGTAGAATTACAAACAGTTAGCGAGACTAGTATATCTGTTTCATCTTAGTACTGAACTTCTACGAAGTCTAAATCCATGACGCATCATAGAATCGAATCCAGAACAATCACTATTTATTCTCACGACTAAGTCGAAGTAAACGGTAGTAATTTTCAACTTATGTCAATCTAAAATTTTACTTTAACATCATTTAGTGAGGAATGATAAAAGTTAGTAATATGAATCGTTGCACTGGTTTGAAAGCACTGTGCTCTCCATAACCCGGAATGTCCTAGATTTGATTTTATGTAGAGTTAATAATCTACAATTCTAAGTAGTCCGACAACGAAGTAATTGTCACATATATACTTGTTCTTAATCATTCTCCAGATGACGTCGGTTGATGATAATAAATGCTAACTTCAAACCCGAATAATCTTCAGTCAAAGTTCAGTCTGAATAAATTATGTTTTGTTTTTCTATAATTCCAGTTTACACAGTTGAAATTAAAAGAATTCTACGCTGAAGCTAATCCATTCACACGAAACGATTTATTTACTTCAACGTATAAAGAAAATGTTTTAACATTGAAAGTAGACTGTTTGATATTCCCTTTATTTTGATGCAAAAATTTTTTCATATAGGAAATTGTCTTACGAAAATTATCCCGTTTAGGATTTATTGAGTAATATTTAACTTTATCTAAAATGTATTATTCATATTTTTAGTATTGGTGTTAGCAATCCTTGGTTAGAAAGTGTTATAGGATCAAAACAATGGCAAACAGCTGGATTTTGTGCTCTATGTAAAAACCCATTTGTAACTTGGTGGTTAGAAAGTGTCCGATTTGCCAATCGTAAAGAATTAGTAGGTTTTAATGTAATCAGTTCATTCATATCAATTATCTAAACAACTTTCTTTGCGATCTAGGATAGTCGATGTTGAGGAATTGCAAGAAGTACACACTGATGTAGTTCGTGGTCGAAAGCGAATGTGAACCATAACAGAGACGAGATCACTGGTCACTGGTCTAAGTGACTTAACACTGTTTACACTGTATTTTGATGTAAGGAGGTTGATGATAATCGACAAGAAACTCTCCGTTTTCGTGCTAGTTGACGCTCATAAGCAAGCTGTACTTTCGATCTTGAGGAAAGTGATTCCTCCAGTGAGATTCCGACTGGAGCTAGTCACAACATGAATATGTGTGTAGTAAGTACACAAGTTTTGAAACTGCGTGACATGATTTATAATCCCACTCAGAATATGAGTTCTCTAAATATTGAAGGTATTTCTTGCCGATGATTCCTAACCAACACGAAAACTAGATTCAGGAGTTTCCCCGCTGCCTCCAACTACTTCTCTTACAGAATTATGACGGATTTGAAATTTTGTTAAATAGAATTTTTTCGATAGACTTTATGGTATGACGTAGAATTCGGCATATATGTATGATCGAATTAGTATATGGTTTCGTTATTTTAGCAGAATGAATTTTGTTTAAATTGACATCTTGACATTGATCTCAAAGGCTACCAAGGACAGTCTCAGATAATATGATTAGTAGTTAAATTTGGACTGGTTAAAAGTTTACTCATTGACTGATTCCGTGAACGACCCTCAAGTGATATATATAATTACTTATCATAGACATACTGTATATATTTTATAAAATATTTAGTTATATTTAATACTGTTATTTACAGAACCGCATAACTACTATATAAATCTAGCAGAACAAAAAATTTTCTTTGATTGGTTTTATTTGAAGAAATTATCATAGTTTGAAAATAGTTCCCATCACGAAAAGAATATTAGCTGAAATACGGTTGAAAATAAAGTGGGCAATAGGCACCAATTCTATTTTGTTTTCGACTCCTCAACAATACTCACTCGTCAAAACACACAAAATTAGACTCGAAACCAACACGTTTCACAATGAATATGATGCTTTACACCTTCAGAATATTAAGCACAGTTCCAAACTTCATGTAAACTAGTTCTCAGTTAGCTGCGAGAAACCGCTTTACTTATGGCTGTGGAAATTTTTCGCTTAGCAAAAAATACAGCTTTACTTAATGGGCTTTAACAGATTTAAAGTTATAATTGATAAGCGCTTGCATAATTCACATGGATTGATGGGACAATGTGATAAACTTTCTTGTAAGATCACTCAGATGACGTAACATTATGGATTAAAAACAGAAGTACGGAGATATTTACTTCAGTTGTCAATAGCTTAAATTTTTAATATCTAATTAAACTATTTCTTATAAATAATCCATTTCAAACTGATATAAGTCAGGGTGTTTTACAACTTTGTTTCTTTGTTTTACTTTCACTTTCTTTTCCTAAAAAATGTAGATTATCTCTAAAAAATCTCAGTTGAACAAAGCATCTCCAGAAGTATTATATCCGTTAAGGACTTTGTTTTGCAGTTATCACTGCTTAAGTTCAAGCGGAAATTGTTACGAATTAAGTGTTGGTTAATGTTTTGTCGTAACGAATTTACTCCTAGTGATGACGAAGAAAATTTCAAGCTCAGAAGGAAGATTTAGAGTGATGTGTACAATTGAACTGGATGCTTTATTCATCATTAAATTCTTCTATAATATGTAACTTGTTTCTAAAGTATGTGCTGATGTTATTGTCCAGAAAGACACTGAAAACTTTATAACTAAGTCATACAACTCATTGAACACAACACTTTCAAATTACTGTCAGTGATACCATTCGTGACATTATCTTTCATTGTCCCCTTTTCGAGAAAATTTCAATTCATGGAACCAAGATTTAATCTCATGGTTTCTTTATCTCAGTCATTAGTTTATTCCAAATGTAATCACTACTTTACAAGTTATTTTATTTATAATTCCGATTATGTGTTTCAAGTTTTCCAGAGCTTCTTCTCCCAAAATGCTTCCTTTTTAAAAAAAATTAACACATAGTAAGAATGAATAAAATTAGTTTTAAAAAAATTAATAAACAAAAATAGATGTAATATAACTACTTATATATATATGAACACCAAATTTAACTTTTTTGAAAAAAGATTGTTAATTAAAACAAAATACAAATCCCAGATGAATTCAGTGTGAATTGAACAAATTCATAATGCGCGAAAAACTGTGAAAAAAAGATTATCATTCATAAATAATAAATACATTTTTGTTATATCCCAATGAGTAAATAATTGTATTTCTGACATTTCCTGACTTAATGTAAGCCACTTTTTCAGAGTAAATAAATAATCGAAATAAAATTAACACAAGTTTAAATAATACAAAGGTTGTCTATTTATCCCGAAGAAGTGGCATACATTAAGTCACGAAACGTCAGTAATAAAACCTTCTACTCATTGAGATATGACAAAAAATACATTTATTATTAATTTAATTTATTTAAAACTATCAAGTCCAACCTTCGCGTTGATACTCATATTATTATTCATTGTTTGTCTCATAAAATACTAGTATTGTACCAAATATGTCCTCAAACTAAATGACATCCATTTTATTTGAATTCCATTTAAGATGATCACTGGAAATAAATTACGTTCATATTCCCCTTTTCAGTACTGATCAAAACTAGATAGTCATGGGTCGAAAGCATAATAACCTCGTGCATGTCGGAATACAAATTGATATTGTTTTATTAAGACATCTAAGACAAACTAAGACGTGTATAGATTTTAGGCATACAAAGTTTTAATGCATTTGATCGACTAATTTTTCGACACTGCTTTAACCTAACTTTTTGATTTAAAAAGAAAAGACCATTTCCAGGTAAAGGTCGATTGTTTGACTTCATTATAAAGGATACTTGGTAAATTGACTTCAATCGACAAAACAAATGACCGAATAGTGATAAATCAATATTTACCTAGTGGTCAATAAAAATGTATTGCATTTGTTCCACATGGACTGTCTACGCTTGGTAGTTTGATAAAAAATATCTCTCTTCGTTTCTCATTTCATATGCCTTCAGTTTTTAATTATCATCTTTTCTTATGGGTAAAACACTGTTCTGAGGCTAGTCACAAAACGTTTATTATGTATAAGTAGTTGTTAACAACCCATGAATTTGGTAAAAATTCATAGTTATAAATGTTACGTGAAACGTTTTCCAGAAACGTGGAAAATATTAGTAAAACATGACAAAACTTACAAATTACTTAATCAATTAAAACGAATATTCACCTGTTTAATCTCAATAAATGGTTACGATTGTTAATGAGGTTAGATTGAACCCATGGTAATTGCTATGTTACGAATGAATAAGATTATTCTAATACGGAAACAATTTAGTATGAACTTAACTTCATATCGAATGACACAAAACAGCAATTCAATATTATTAATCCACACTCTAGTATGGGAGAGAGACTAAATGGGACTTTGGGGACAGTTTTATATTGGGAATCAAAACTGAAAATTGAAATGATAAATTTCAAAATCACTATTTAGACGTGATCAAACCATCTATTTAGTACACAGTTACTTTTCATAGACCCTATGTATATTCAAAAAATTTGAATTTGATTGTTTCCTTGAGAAGGCTCAAACCAGAATCCTAAACAAAATGCTTATTTGTCTCAAATTTTAATCACTGAGATTTTTAAAAATATAATTCCCTTCCTAACGTCTTCCGTACAACCGGGGCCCAACTATCGTGAAACGATTTATCCAAGTTTGAGCGAAAGCTCTTATAAGATATCAATTTTGTTGTAGGTTTTTAATATATACACAAATGTTTTGTGTAATAATTCAAACCGAAGCAAATGGTCAATCACATCATTTTATAGTGCAGTATTCGTGGAGATCGTTAAAATTTGTAAATAATGACAGAGAGGGACCATAATCCAATCCTGTTTGTGAGTCTTACCGCCAAAATAGTTGCTGAAAATCATAGTTAATTATGATTAATTAAAAATATGCTGACGAAATCTTTCAAGTGGCATTTCATGCTGCTAAACTTCTCCTTTCGTCCTATCATTTGTGGATGTATAAGCCATAAACTACTTACTTGGTCCGCATCAATCTGTTTTTACAAGTTTAATTACCAATATGGAGTACAATATACTGGCTGCAGAAAGTTAGATCTCTATAAACGCGTCCCCAAGCCTCACGCTACGTGACTTTCGTAAAAGAATGTCAAATAAACCTTAGACAAATATTGGGACATATTTTCAATTCTGATCAAAGTATCTCATAGGAAATTGTAGTGTCTGGTCCTATGTCGAGCCTACGTAGCTCATTCTAGCTTATCGATAAACCAATTTATCCATTCTTCTTAAGTTACATTTTGATCTTGGCTGTTTTTAGATGAGCGTATATGTGTACATCTTATCCTACTAATCGCACGTCTGTAGCTTATTTTTATCTGGTTATAAATATTGATTAACGCTTGATTAAATCGGGATGGGTCACACGCGTTCTCCATTGTGTGTCATTTCGCTTCGCTCACTTCTCTTCGCTTTCTTCACTGCATCTCTCTGTTTGTCTGTTTCGACCAACGATTGTACAAAATATACGTACAAGAATACGAAGAATCTGTAGCCCCGACATCGTAGACGAAGAATTGGGTCTTTTAAAAGAGATACTTATCAAAAACGGGTATCCTTCGACATTCATTGATAAGAATATGAAGCCGAAAACGCCAAAAACACAAACAATCACAGTAGAAAACAAAACTTTATACATGAACATCGACTTTAATAGTGACAGAGTCACATATATCTTAAAGAGGAGAATTTCTGATTCCTTAAAAAGAACATTCTTCACAGCAACTTTGAGAATATTATTCTTCAGCCGATCAATGTTCACCAATAAACTGAAAGATAAATTATCTCATCTGACCAACTCTATGTGCATTTACTAATTTACCTGCTCTTGTGGAGCTAGGTATATAGGTCGTTCGATGTGTACTTTATCCAAAAGAATTCAAGGACATTATCCGGCGTGGCTAAAAAGAGGAGGAAACGGCTCAATAAGAAGTTCTATAGTCGAACACCTTGTGAACACAGGTCACTCAATCAAGACAGACTCTGCGTTCAAAGTCATCTACAAGGTAAGTAGAAGTCTTCCGAAGACAACTAGACTGCATCATCTTTGCATTGCCGAGGCAATAGCCATACATCTGGAAAAACCGGAATTGCGTGTGCAAAAGAGACTGGTACAACCTCTCCTTCTACCATGGTCTTAATGTATTAAAATTTTTCTTCTCTCTTTTTCATACTCTTGTTTCTTTACAGCCATCTGCTTCACCTTCCATCTTCCTTTAAATCTTCTACCCCCAATTGGTTTATTTTTATTTCCACGACCATTCCGATTACATTTCATCTCTATTTCAACATTTGATTTTATTATGCTGAGCCATCCTTTCCCAATAATAATTTCCTTATCTATCTTTTGATGAATACCTAAGCCAATAACAATCAAACGATTATTAAACTTTCTTTGTTTTTAAATTTTTATATTTTAATACCTTTGTTTATTTAACCTCACTGTCACCATGCTTAACAGAAGGTTATTATCAGTATTATTATCATCCTGTAAAAATAAGTATAGGTATTTGCGATTGTACAGCTTTGAAAATGAATTCGCCGAAAAGAGAACTCTTCGCTGAGCTAATTAATCATATTGCAGACAGTGCTCAACGTCAGGTCCCACAAACCACATTTATCTATCCAACCAATACCTAATAAGTTGGTATCACAGTTTCCAGATGCTTAGCATTCGCCGGTCATAGTCTTGCCACCGAATGTGGGAGGTAGCTTCATTTCTCAAAGAGTGATGTTAGTTCCTATCGCACTCCTAGCATTAGAATATGTAGGTTAATATTGAGGTCGACCAAGTTTTATACAAGTCTCTCTATAAATTAATGTTATGTCAGACCCGTATCAATTTGCAGCTTAACCGCCTTACCATTAAAAAAGATAGTTTGCAACACTATAAACTCTTTGATATTTTTGTATGAATATCCAGACAGACTAATCTAGTTTTAAATAATTTCCAATACATACATTTTGATATCTTCATCCTCCTTGTTCTAGAAAAGTGCGGTTGCATCTCATTTACTTCAGTGATAATGTGTTTAAATTTAACATTGAATGACACGAATTGAAAATCCTACTGGGATCATCAATTCCGTCAATATTGCAGATACACTTTATTCATGAATATTAACTACAATGAAACCTAGTTCAAGGATTTCCTGTCGACTACTGTCAACTGACTTATCTCAAACGAAAGGTCAATCTACTTAAAATAGTGACCCCTAACAGGTTGTTGATTTCAGTTTATTTGTTTAAATAAAATCTAGATAAACTAATAAATGCGAAAAAAACCGGTGTTTAATACATGCAAGCAATTTGACTTATTAATTCTGTGTAACCAACTACGAGGTTTACCAGTTACCGGTAATAAGTGTTTTTATTTCCATTTCCAAAACTGACTTTGATCAAATCACCTCCCTCTATCAGCTAATCATTGAAGTTACATATACTGGATTTCCATTATCCACCCAATACACATTCACACAACATCCCCATCTTTCCTATATATATTTGTTAAGTGGCCAAATTAGGCATAAATTCATTTCTATTATTTCTTTTGATGCTCTTCAAGTCACTTACAGCTGAATAATTTCAAATTTGTTTCGTGAAATCATTTTTATGACATACAAAAGAGCAAGTGAAATTAACAAATATGTGTAAATTAATTGGGTTTCAGTCAGTTTTTCAAGTTATTTTTATCACCGTTTGCAATTAGTGTTAAATAATTGTTTAAAATGATTCAGCTTCATTTGACAGTTGAATTCAATTGTTAGGGAACACTCAAATTTACTTCCAACTCTTTTGCAGTACTTATCAATTTTGGAGATATTTATAAAACCAACCTAAGATTTGAATGCCTCTAATAAATGAAATGAAAATGCTAATTGGCATTACTGAGCTACTGTTTTTAATGGTAATTAACCTTCTGTAAAATCACAGTACTGATAATAATGAGATGGTAAACTTAATAGCCAGCGTTCTCTATCTGTTAAATGGAGTAAACTAAATTATTAGATCCATTTTAGAAATATGATTCAACATCATGTTTAAAAGTTTTTCACCAATTGATTTAAACTCTCTAATTCATATGGTATGGTACATTGTGCTAAATTCATTGAGAGAAATGAACAAACTCATTGATTTATATGTATCGGTTAATATTCCTGGACCATGGCGGAACTTAAATTCTCACTTAGTGAATAACTAGTGTACAAGATGTAAAACCAATGAACATGCGTGTAAGCATGAATGGTGTATGTTTGTAATTTTTGACTTGGGAGAGTTATGATGGTCAATTGCATTATATATATATATATATATATATATATATATATATATATATATATATATATATAACATTTGCATAGTGACTAACCTACAGCTAAAAATTATAACTGTAGATCTAAACAACAAATATTTTCACTTTGCACCGAGCATTTTTTTTCTTGTAATTATCTCTCTAGTTTAAGGTTGCATTGACAATAAGAATTAAATTCATGATGGCTAGTTGTGAATACTGATTACATAAAATTATTTTACATTTTCAATCTATAGTGAGATTTCCTTTTTTCGATATTGTTTTTTAAGAACATTACTGATCAACTACTGTCTAGATGTTTTCACATGAAGGAATGATATACTATGAAATATTTGGTAATAAAATGACTTATTGAAATAAATTGTTGAAGAAGAACTGAATATGGTGATATAGATTATGTGAAGGTATCGCCTGTAGAAAAAGAACTTCTTAAAATGACTTGAGAGGGTCGATAAATATCATAACGGATTATGTTGTTTAACAGTTAAGACATTCACTTCACAGAACGCAATTCTACCGAAATATGAACAGTAAATTACTCTGTTTGTTAGAAATCTGTCAGATGAATTATTATGGTAAGCAGTGTTGAATTTAACTGGTTCAGATTAATTTTTGGCTAAAGAAGATTCTATCTTGTCACAATTCCTGACCATATCACTTGATCCAGGCACAATTTGAACAACGGAATCTAAGTCAGATAAATATTCTGATGTAACAAATAAACTTGCCACAACATACCACTTCCAATGATCTGAACACATTTTATGTACATTACTTTGACTAACTCTGCATTTAGTGTGGTTTACTATTACTCAGACAACTCAGAAAGAAAGAGGTAGTAAGTTAATAACACTGTGATGAAAAATATGCAGTCAGTTATTATCAATGTAGGATTCGACATAAATGTTCCTCAGTTCAAGTTGTCATCAGTATAACGAAAGACAAAACTGAAAATAATAAAATCAGAGCAGACAAAATAATATCAGTTGTAAAATAAATCTAGAGACGAGAGAATGGAATCGAGGAATAAATAATTGGAAATCACATTTATCACAAAATATAAGGAAAAAATGAAGAATGAATACAGTTGTGAGATCACGACCAATTTTAATCGGATCTCAATCTGGACCTGCTCACATGATTTATATCAGTAATCAAGGCTTCCACGACTTGACCTCATATCCCTCCGACTACTTCGTTCCAATCTTCTCCTCTATCAACCAGCATTGAATGTTTGGTACAAACTATTTATCATATTTTCAAAAATTCATAAAGATTTGGATGATGTTTTGTCGAAGGGGTTGGTGAGATGTCAGATATGACCCAAAACTAAATATGGATAAAATTCTGTAATAGTTATGTTTCACCTCTAACGTAAAAAAGAAGTAAACGAATAACTGCTGATAAATCAGGTGTCACTTACATCTTCCACCTTTTTTATGCTTACTATTGTATATACGTATTTCACTCGTAAATTCATGATACCGACTTACTTTAAGTGAAATATCCCCTGATATAACTAGCGCAATTCAAAGATAACCGATTGAAGACATATATTATGATCTTTTACTGAGTATTTTAGTAGCACTGAGAACTTGATCAGTAGAATTTAGTTGGCACTAAGAATTGTACAATATGAAGTCGGTTATTGTCTTTTGATCGGTGATTTTAATCAACTAAGTCTTACGTGATATTAGTTACCTCTCAAATGGATCATTACTGATGCATGTAATGGCTACACTAAATGATATATTAAGTGTTACTCTGCAAGAAACCCTAAATTATTTGATTCCTGATGTTTGCCAACATACATTTAGTATGAAAGCAATTCATTATGAATTTTGAGCCATGCATTTGAATGGTCATGAGACAAACTTTGATCAATAGAGTTCAATCAACAACAAAGACTAAATAACATGATATTTTGTGTCTAACATTAACATAATAACTACGAAAGTTTGCACATCTTTAATCGGGGAAATTTCAAATAACAAAATAACTTCATACAGACGAAACTTAATTTTAAAATCATCTCAAATGTGACGGTAACATCTTAATCTGAATTGTGAAGGTTAGAGTCCATGTTTAAACTAAAGATTACTAGAGATTAATAATACCGTAATAAAGCATTAGTTAGCAAGCCTACAGCACTTTTCTGATCATTTGAAAATATTGAAAACAAATTACTGAAGTTTTAGGAAACAGTTTTGAAACATTTACATATGAACTTTGCATGCTAAAAATGTCTTTCTTCAGCTAGAATAAGCATTTCTTAGCAGTCCTACCGATTATTGTTCAAAATGTCAGCCAACACTAATCACCTTCACGAGGAAACTTGCTTACAACATTATCATTTCATTTTAAATGTCTGTTATTATTTCAAGAATTGACGGTTGGTTTACCACTGAGTGATTAAAAACTATTTGTTTAGTCTTTTTGGTGCTGATCGAATTCCATCGACCAAGTTGTAATGTGGCCATTAATCAAGATGACTTGACATCACACGCACTATATTAAGATGTCAGTCGGTTGGAGATAGCAGATAGAAGACTTTCAACCTGTGTTTCTGTTGTAACGTGTGGTGTCCAAAATATGATAGTGATACATGGTGTGCTATGTGCTAACCTTCCAACTGACTACTTGAGTGAGAACACAAGAGTGAGAGAGAAAGCGTATTGGACTACCGAGTAAAATGCAAAAATAACCATTCATATATATACCAGTCTATCCTTAGGAGATTGACATCAAAGAAATACACTTGACCCTTAGTTCACTTCTGATTGCCATCGATTGATCTTTCGCTACTTCTGACTGGCCCTCCATATCAGTTTCGTTGGAGTTGCCACACCGAAGAATGGTTTATCTGCAATCTTGAAGGAACCAATGCTCCCTGTGGAATAAATATTTCAATCCTACAAGAGGTCACTTTCATTCAGAATGTCTCTAACTTAATATCTCAGACTGTAAAACTGAATGAAGCGGGTTCAAATTCTGAATGGAGCATTATTCCTCTCAAGAATATAGGTACTGTTTCCATAATTTATGAACAGAGTATGTTGACATTAATACCGTACTCAGTATGATCAAACTGTTCATTCTTGCCCACAAATCGGTCGCTTGAGAACCGAACTCATATGCACAAGCAAATAAAAGATTAAACACAATCACTAAATTTGATTGGTTGATTACCTTTCTTAAACAAACACGTTAGAATAATAAAGATTCGTTATAATCCATTTTCAAAAAAGAATATTAATATCAAAACAACACGGTAAGAAGTTTAAATGGACTTAATTTATTCGATTGGTTATGATGTGTAAAAGAAATAATTTTTAATTCTTATATAAATAATTACCATTCACTTTAAGAAAAAAACAAATTTTATATTAAGGAAAGTTTTTTACGATAACAAAAATTATTTAAATTAATGGATAATTCATGTGAATCTAATGTTCCATCAGTAATACATCTATACACGGGAAATGAACTAGCTTTAAACCACCTATCATCGTCTTACGAAAATTCAGGTAATTCTGTCTTCTTGTAATGTTTTTCTTTTTGTGAGAGCTGATAAACAAAATGATTACGATAAATTCTTACATACAATTATTTAAGAGCTGGTCGAATATATTATTGTTAAAATTGTTTTTGTGATGCACTCAGTGCTATAACTTGTAGATTATTTAGTGAAGTAGTGAACAAATAAATGTGAAGCCAATGATATCAGTTCTGCTACAAAACTTCGTTTCCCATATAGTTCATTGCTGTTGTTCATAGACTTCAGGTAACTTCACTATCTTCACTTCTATTACTCATCACTTGTTATCATTGTTTAAAAGTAATATCTATGCAAGTGAATCACTTGGACACTGAATTTTATAATTTTTCTTGAATAGTTTGCTTTCACTAAATAATTGTAATAAATCAAACATTTTTTGTTTCATATCATTTGAAAATTTTGTTTTAGAATTTATCAATGAATCAAATAAACAGAAATTCATTGTAGACTGTCGTGTAAACAATGATACTTCAAAAATGAAATTTGAGATATCCGATTTACCAACTAGATCAGGAAAATTAAATGTTGATAACGATAATGATAACGATGATCATAGGGAAGAGTGGAATAACCAGTGTGATTTTTTTCTATCAGTACTTGGTTATGCAGTTGACTTAGCAAATGTTTGGCGATTTCCATATGTATGCTTTACTAATGGTGGCGGTGAGTTTTTATTTCATTCATTTTTGTTGCATCATTCAGTTTAAAAATGTAATATAAAGATGCAGTGATATCTAAATATGTTTTCTTCTCGTAAAACTGGGTTATAGATGACAGAGAAATCCATGATGCAAATATTATCTATCTGAACGTACCTGCATACAAGTACTGATGAGATTCAAACTCGGTATTTATAACTTATGAATGAATTCAGACACACAGATCAGGTTCGTGGCTACCTGGACTCACTAAGTTAGTGAATAGTGCATTGATGTTTAAGCTCGTAGGTCTTGTGCTCAGTTCTCACTGGGAAAGAGATACATTCAATTAACGGATCCTAAATAGGACAAACTGAGCTTCGTAGAACCACTGTCCAGAATTTTAAAAACTTATCACTAGATGATAACGCCGAGGCGATTTGTCTTGAATGAGCGTATACGAATCATAGTCTTTAATACAAACAACAGGAAAATCCAAACACTTATAATTAACTAAAACTTAATGTTTGAATATTTATTGTTATATTTAGCTCCATAACCAAGTACAGATTTGTGTAAAATGTACTTCAGTAGTTGAGATCATGAGTCCTTTGAGGCTGGACCAGTATGGAAGAGGTGAACGGCCGTTTCTTCCTAGTATGAGATTCCTCATCAGTGCACACCCACGATCCCGTCTCATAAGATTCCAATCCACCACCTATCAGTCATGCGTGCCAACACTTAACCTCTTTACCACTGTTTGTTATAAATAGTTGGGTGCGTGCTATTCTGTTTACAATTTGATGCTCTGTAGATGACTAATTTTGTACATGAAGGTGTCTGATTATCATTAGATATCACATGAACCATACATTCAATCATTATGATTAAATTATTATCATGAAGTGTTTGTTTACCATAGAATATGTATGTGTAAACTGATAACAAAGAAAATCTTTGAAGAAAATACCTTTAATCAAATATTTTTATGTAACTTCGTAATTGAAATGATATATTGATAACATATGCATGGTATTCTATATATAAAGTATTAGAACTTATTTTTTAAAGCCGAATATTCCATTCTTAACTTAGCATCATTTTCTCGGTCACGGGATTAATAACACTAACATTGAAGAAAAATGGTAAATAAGACCTGTACTGTTTACTTTCAAACGTTTTACACAGAAATATTCAGAAGAATCGTTCACGTCTATTTTAAAACTAAATCTCATAAGAAGAGCTTAGATCCAGCGAAATAAGCATGCGCAATTTTAACCAACTGTACTAAATATTTGCCTCCCAGTTTTTTTTATATTTGTGATGAAGTAATATACTCAAATGATGTTAAAATCATGATTTTCTGTTATATATATGTTGCTAATAATTTATTTACAGTTGTTTGGTAATTTATCTCAACTAATATCACATAGCTTGTTTCAGTCCAACACGTTTTGTTCATGAATCAACCTAAACAAGACAGCCGTCGACGACAAGAAGCGCTAAACAGCCGTTTAATCCCATTATAGGATTCTTCATTAGTAAGCATTCAATCGACTGCCAGTTACAGTATTCGCTTATGCATCCTCGACCAGCGCTTTATAAACATCATATTTTTGACATGTCTGTTAAGAGTTCATGTTTCTCTGCATTAGAGTTATTCAATTAAAGATTGAATGCTATACAAACGAGGTATGAAACAGAACTCGAAACTTTGATCTAATGAGTTGAAAAATATATCTGGACATCAGCTTTGCTTGTTTTTTCGGAAGATTTTTGGTAACCAAATAATGCTTTTTTATACTTTATGATTTCTGCAAACGAGAGCGGACAGTTTAGAACCTTTACGTGTATCATAGTTTGACTATTAAAACTAATTTGTGAACAGTAAATGTCTAACAAATAAATTAAACTGATCTGTTAAGCAAATTCATTTTTAAGCATGAACAATTAAATATTTTGCATACTGAAACTTTGATTCAGTGAGAAGTACATCGATTCATAAATAAAAGTCTGGATCTTTCACGAAATTTTAAGGTCACATTTACTACAAGTGACTTAAATTGATTTGATCATCTTTTTTTCAGATAGACCATATTACTCGAAATAGTTATCTAGTAACACAGCTATAAAGAAAAGTGTAATTATTATTAGAATGGGGATTTGTGGAGATTGTAGTGATTTTAATAGTTAAATTTACGAGTCAACTCATCTTCTCAACCATCTTAACTATTAAAAAGTGTAATTATAATCAATGAGAATAACTATGAATCACTAACTACTGCACGGTTATTTCGATGTCTTATTTATTTATTCTAAACATTTTAGGTGCTTTCCTAATTCCCTACTTTATTGTGATGATTTGCAGTGCAACACCAATGTTCTACTTGGAATTGGTTTTAGGCCAAAAACATCGTCGTGGAGCTATTTCTCTTTGGGATATATGTCCTATGTTTCGAGGTAAAATTTATTGTTACTACTATACTTTTATTTCTTTTGTTGTTCTCTTACAACTTTGTAAAATTAAATCACTTGGTGGAGCATAATAAAACAGGTCACTATGTTATTTTTTTAAATTTGTCAATGGTCAGCACTAATTCCAAAATTAGTCGACCCTATAGTACATTCTGACTACTGATTAGGCATTATTTTAAGCCAAAGAGAATTGCGATATCACTTAGTTTAATTGCTTATTCACTCTCATCATCAATCACAATAAACTTTATCTTTTTTATGCGCTTATTCAATTCGAAGAATAAACAGGTTTCCATTCCGGGTCACAAAGGGTCATTCATTGAGTGAAGTAACATTACTGTAAAAATTTAAATGAAACTTCGAAATTCCTTTTACTCCTTTGAAAACAGCGGACCAACAAGCACTAAGCAACGTAAGCCTTAGATTCAAAATTATGCAATAGTTGACCGTGAAACCTTTCAATTTTGTAAATATTCAAATAACATTACATATTTTGTATGAGACCAAACATTGTTTAATCTCTGATAATATACATCAGTAAACGGTGTTTTAAAGACTTGAATATGGATCTTATTTATAAAATGATGCACATTCAATGGCTGAACATGGTTAGTTATTGTGCCTAATCAGAAAGCTCTTGGCTCTGTAGAATGTGAAAACGTGATTGTGTACGACTGAGGTATCTTCTGTTAGAACAACACAGGCTCCTAGTATCCAACGTTTTTTCAGTTAACGTCGATTTATCACAAAAATCACTTTTAAACAGCCAAAAATCTTCCCAAAACTATCCAACAAATATAGTTTGATTTGTTTGATAGATAAGAATGATTTAAATAAAGTTCATTTAATTTATTTGTTTTGATTAATATTTCACAGGTGTTGGTATTGCTCAAGTAATCATATCCTATATAGTTGCATTCTATTATAATACAATATCTGCATGGTCACTATACTTTTTATTTGTATCCATTACGGATATTCTACCATGGACCTATTGTGATCAACGAAGGGGTAATAGTATTAATTGCGTGAATTTTACGTATTTACAAAACTTATCTAATACTATTTCCAATGACGAAAATGATTTATTACAACAGAAAAATTATAGTCTTGCTTCAATTGAATATTTTGAGTAAGATTTCATATAAATGATTTTTCATTCAAAATAAAACAAAATTATTATTATTTATCACAACTTGAAAGGTATTCGTCACTGAATGTGTTCTGTGACCGTGATATTCATTGTTGATAACGCATATTGAATTAAACAATAAGTAATTACATAATCTTAGTAGATTTTTGGTTGAATGTTTTGTATCTAACGATGTACGGGAGTGATAGAGTTTTCTGCTAATTGTATTGAATCATGATGACTCAAAAACGTAAATTGATTGGAGTTAAAAATATAAGCGATTAGATGGCTAGTAAGCGTGGTTCGGAGTCTAAGCAATGCCCCAAGACATGAACATTTTGAGTTCCATCTCTGATAAAGTCGTGGATATCCGCAACTGAGAATCCTCATATTATAACAATATAGCTGTTCAGTGATGTTTTGGTTTTCATTGGTTGTTTGGACAATGCTAATCCATCATGTAAATTGTAATACTAGCTTTCATTTATACAATCATAAAAATTGTTGTTCTGTTGGTTGAAAACTGATCAGCTGAAATTTACAAATTCGTTCTCCAAGTACGTGAACAGTTAAGTCAACTGATCTATAGCAGTAATTTGAAAAATTAAATAGAGTATTACGACAGATTAAAAGCGAGTCATCAAAAATAGCTATAATCAGTATTTTTCTACATATGTACACATTTGCATCTAAAACAAAAGAATTACTGCCGAACTTATTTTCAATTAAAATCTAAAAGATATATCTTTTGTTATATCAGAATGGGTAGGAAGTTGTATTTCTGACGTTCCATGAATTAACGTAAGACTCTTCTTCAGAGTAAATAAATAACTAAATTAAATAAACACAGGTATAAACAATATAAAGAAAACAATGCAGAATATGTTAAGTACAATCAAAATCATAATGAACAAAGATGGATGGTGGCTGGCAGTCAAATTCAGGACGCACGTTTCGTCCTATTTGAGACCCATCAGCTGGATGTACCTACACCTCGAAAAATGAATTCACTTCGGGACTCCAACCTAGATCATTCGATTCACTAACTTGTGCAATGGAGTGAAGTTTAAATTCATTTCGTATTGTTTATTTTAATCTTTCCATTGATATTACGGACTGCGATTGATCAGTCTCTTAGTGAAATATGTGCATCCTGTACGGATTACCTCGATATTGCTTTAGTTCACAAGAATTATAAGCAAAGATGGATAGTGACTAGCAATGGGATCCAGCTGACAAGTCTCAAATAGAATGAAACGCGCGTTCTGGATTACACTGTTAGCCACCACCCGTCTTTACATATAATGCTTGTGAATTAAAGCAATATCGAGGTAATACGCACAATATGCAAATGTGCCAATAAGAGACTGAACAATTGCAGTCCTAAACATCAATTAGAAGATTCAAACAAACAATACCAAGTGGATTTCAACTTCACTCCATTAGACAAGCAAGTGGCTATCAGAACTCAGTAGTTAGGTAGATGACGCGATGGATTTTGAGACAAACGTTTGTGGGTTCGAGTCCCGGAGTGAACATCAACTCTGGGATGCAGGTATATTCAGCTGACGACTCCCAAATAGGATGAAACATGCACCCTAGATTCCATTTCCAGCCACCATCCATCTTTGCTTATAAAGAATATTTTAAAATTTCGATTTTCATTTGTAAACATATCACACTGATCAAACTATACGCTAACATATTGAATGGGAAAATGTCTGAAAGTATTAGATATGACATTTTTGGGGGCACTGAGAAAAGAATGGTTATCCTTACGCTAAGTAACACTGAGTTTACTTACAAGTAATAATTAAAAGATTATTGACTGTAAAATACTATACTTGTTTAGAAAACACCAACTGCTGAATGAAGCTATTTTCCATCAGACAGTGTAAATTTTGAAATAAGGCAAGATTTTTAGATGTATAACGTTCTAGACATTATCTAATTAACTAAATATTGTGCAAGTTCGAAGGATATTTTCTTAAACGAACGGCCAAAAAAGTACTTTTAACTTATACGCAACTTATGTTTATTGAAATTTAATTTAATCTCCTTAATAAGAATAACATTCATTCAAATTATTTGTGATTGCTGTGATAAAATACCATTTTAAAAAAAGAGACTACAATTCGCACGACACAAGAAGGAAGACAGGATTAAGTGACAGATGAAGATTCTAATCATTCTTTAATAACAAAGCAAGACAACAGCTAATTAACCAAATACACTTATCTTTATATACATTTTACCGAATACATGATTGAAAACTATGGAAATACAAAGTGGTGGTTAGAGGTATTCGACAGGAATTCCTGGATTTGGGTTTCGAACTGTTTGGCACTCGTCAACGGGATATACCTGTAATCTTTAGAGGACTGATGTTTCCTTTAGGATTTAATCGTGTGTCACTCATCTTCATGGTCAAAGACGTTATTACTGGGTTATTTGGACCTTGAATTACCTCCTATGGGACTCACATATTTTTACAGCTAATTAATCACTAAGTAGTGACCGATGTCGTATATTTCAAGCCTTTTTAAGTGCTCGTCAAACTTTCCTGATCCAGTTGCAATACGAAGCTGGAAAACACAGGACCAAATCGTACGGGAAAAATCAGTCTTGTCGATATTTTACGCTGAGCCAAACGAATGTTACGTGTTTTACAGAATAAATATCACAGTAAACATGACCGCCAGTTGTATATTCCACCCTGCTAATATCCAATTTTGAAAAATAAATCGAATCCAATTTTTCTTTACCCCTTTTATGTGATATTTTAGACGTGTTGTTTTGAAATTACAGCAAAGTACTGGTTTAGAAGATCTTGGACCAATTAGATGGCAATTAGTAGGATGTACTATATTCATATTTAGTATACTATTTGCATCAATGAGGAATGGAGTGAAAACATCGGGCAAGGTAAATGTTATCAATTTATTTTCAATGATATTATGTCGTTCAGCTTTTGGTAGGTTTCTGTCTTTCCTGTACATACTTCGAATTTTGAGATGGGGAGAGAAGTGCAAAGACTAATATGTGTGCAAAAATATAAAATCAAAAAGAACAATAGAAAAAGTGAGCCGACCACACTCAGATTGTACTTACATTTAATACTGAAATCGATCGATAGTAATTAGCGTTAGGTTAAGACAGAATGATAATCTAAACCAGGAGTTAACAATGCGAGGTTCCAGATGCAGTGCATTATGATAACAGTATCACTATGATACTCTCTAATGAATTCAAATTCAAATATTGTAACAAGGCTAGTCTGCTTCTAGGAATAATACTGACAGCTATGATAATATAACAAGTGAATGAAATCAATTTTCTACAGAAAATTCTTTATTTGCATAACCTACATAATACTGAACCAGTGTTCAATGATTTAAATATTCAACATCCGACAAGTTGTAATATTGTACTTTAATTATTCAATGCTAATATCAGAGAAACCTGTCTTATATCTGATACATAACTGAGTTCACTCAGTCGTAAATTGTCACTAACAACTATGAGAAATCATCTCAAACTCAATCACTAGTGACTTAATGGTTATTTTTTATTGTACAGATTAATTCAATCTTACAATACCTTTTGTCATGTTCATATCATTTTTATCGCGTTAAAGATTGTTTCATTTAATTTTTACGATGTTATTCTATTTTTTTCCATTAATGATTTTTATACGATTATATATTTTGGTTTCGTTACAAAAATTAATTATAAATAAATTTCAGGTTGTGTATGTGACTGCATTACTTCCATATTTATTGTTGGGTATACTTTTAATTAATGGATTGACGCTGAATGGTTCCTATAATGGAATTTGGTACTTTATTAAACCACGCTTTGATAAATTATCAGAAATGACGGTAACTCTTGAACATTACATTGTTTATTTTACTCTCTTGCATAATTTTAGATATTTTTTCCTTTCTAAAATGTTACATACATTTTCTGTTTGGTTGTTTGAAAACAAATATGTTTTAATGATGCACAATGATAAATTCTTCCGTTTGTAGCTTGCCAGTTGAATGATTATTTTAATGAAAAGTGATCAGTGTTTCGATGAATGATTAGGTGATTATATGAAACGTTTGTGTATTTTAAAATTAGTTTTCACAATAAACTGAATAAATGTAAGCAGAGATGGATGGTGGCTAGATGTGGAATCCAATATTTGCGTTTCCTTTTATTTAGGATTAGTCAGCTGGATCGAGGCAATCCAAACAGGATGAACATATGCCGAGAGACTGATCATTTGTAGTCCTAAATATGACTGGGAAGATCCAAATACCCAATAGAAAATAAACTGAAGAAATGGTCTTGAGTCAATAATCTTAACTAATTCGGTTTGTTCACAACACCAGAAGTTTCTAGGTCCTCATTCACGTCTCCTTGTTGAATGATTAGTGAGCATTGTTGAGAAATAACTTAGTAGGTTAGAACAGTTGTTTCAAACCCCTTGATATTTTGCTTTTTCACAGTTTACATAACTCTTTGGTAAAGATAAAAATGACCTTCAACCATCTTTCATTACCACTGATAGGTAATTGCATTACGCCGCTCCTTGGTTGAATTCCAGTGGTTACAGATTCACACTAGAATTCTGGAAATGACCACTGAAGATTAGTCACATTTGTACGGATCCGTGAAAAATTTCTAATTTTACGGTCTAAATCATGGACTAACCTTATTCAGAGAACCAGAAAATATCAACAGCCACTGAATAATTAAATAACGATCCAGTTTGACTAGTAACAAGTTATGGAGTAAATTTCAAAGGGTTTTATTAAAGATGCGTTTTTATGACTGTGTTGTCAACAAAAACGATGAAACAGTTAATAACTTATAAAACTGATTGTTAATACTGTTACATTTTACCAAGATTGCATTTGTACTCGTCGTATTAGAACGGATATATACTTTTTAAATTAATTACTCCATTGCCTTTCATTAAGCATTGGCCACCGAATATAAGTCTTCAACCAACTCACTCGTGGGTCCTCCTTTCCAAATGTTTTCAATATCTATTAATTCATTCGGTATCTCCATCCTATTCGCCGAGTGTTCGGCCGACGAACCTGAAGTATCTTCACCAGACTGCTTTTTATAAATACCTGTACCTTTTTGACGATAGTTGTAGTAGTTATCTAAGTTCATCTCAGTACACTTAGAACAGTCTTAACGTTTGCATTGAACGGATTCGATTACTTTCATTTATATAAGCTATATCTTGATAAAAAAATACACATATTGAAGTTAATAATAAATACTCATGTGAACAAGCTTTTAACGATATATAAAAATAATCTCATGCAATTAGTTCCCTTTATGTATTTAAATAGTCAGAGAAAATATTGATGCAGGATAATATGAATTCATTATATTTCGTGGTTTCTTATCAGCTGCTTACATCCAAATATTAGAATTAGTGATGGGGTGGTTTAAGAATTCAGTTATGGAAGATAAATATAAAACAAACTAAACATCAACAAAATAAAACTAATGACCAAAAAAGGATTACCAGGATAATAATAGGTTTATTACCATCTCTTTTTGAATACATAGATGCAGTTTGTTTTTTTATCGCGATCGCTTCAGCAAGACGAGGAAAAGCAGTATGGTTAGCAGAAAAAGAAGTACTGCTTCTCTCCATTTTGCTGAAGCGATCGTGATAAAAAAACTCAAACCGCATCTATGTATTCAAAAATAGATACTAATAAACCTATTACTATCCTGGTAATCCTTTTTTGGTCATTAGTTTTATTTTGTTGATGTTAAGTTTGTTTTATATTTCTCTTCCATTACCGAATTCCTAAACTACCCCATCACTCATACATTTTCACTCATTTGATTTTCTTAAATTATGTGAAATCTTCAAATTCTATTCAATTATTAAGTAACCCATTTTATCAGTTTTTAATTCCATGGATCTTATGTAAATCCTTCATTACCTCTGAAATTATCACACAATTTGTCTTATCTGTTTTTGAACCCCAGTCAACTACTACGTCACCCATCCTTGATGTTTCCTTGATTTTAACACCAAATAACCTCTGACCTGTTCTTGCGCATATATATAGTTATTATTGATAACCTTGGTCATTCCAATTCTTTACAATCACTTATGTCACTTGTTTCATACTATTTCTTACCTCAATGTAAAATTGTAATACATACTTGGTTGCAAGCAGCTGATGAGAAACCACGATATACAATGAATTTATATTATTCTGCATCATTATTTGTTCTGGCTTTATATAAAAATAATCATCAACTCTTCAAATTTACATAAAATGATGACTGTAGAAACAGAGAATTGATTTGATATTTACAAGCACTAGATGTTTATAGATATTTTAAAACGAGACTTAGGCATGTATATTGAGTAAGTTATCATTCATCAGTTTAAAATCTCAGGAAACGTGAGAGTATTTATTTTGATTAGTGGTGTGGGTATGTATTGAAACGAAAAAAGTGACAACGATTAATTAGAAAAAACGACTATGGCTACAACTTATGTTCATTATCAACGATATAATCAAACAAAAGTAAAAAAGTGGAAAAAGTTGGTAAATACCACATGAAATGGAAACAAATATTAATGATAGGGATTTAATGCATCAGTTATATGGTTTAATTACGAAATTTTCATTTTAATTATTTGACTGTCACTTAAAAAAAAACAAAGAAACCTTCGTAAGTAAATCATGCAAGACAAAAAACTTAAAATCATTAAAATAAGGGTCGATTATTAGGAGAGAAAAAAGAAAGTAATTAATAGAATAATACAAAGTAGGAAATCAATAAATTCAATCATTATTAGTTTTTTTCGATTTTCAAGAATCAACAATAGTAATATTTTATTCAAGGTTTGGGCGAATGCAGCTATTCAAATATTTTTTTCAACTGGAGCAGGATTCGGTGCACATATCGCTTATGCAACGTATAATCCTAGACGGTACAATTGTTACAGGTGAGTCCAAATATACAAGAAAAATACTAAAGTATATATGGATATATTCGATGTTGTGTTCTCAGGGCTGGAGTTTTTCATCATTTAAAACTTCAGTTAAAAGATTATTTTATGTAAAACGTCGTCCGAAATGATGGTGAAAATGCTGTAATTAGACTTCCCCGAAAGCTGGTAGTCTATCAGTGACCAATTTCATGTAGTCCTATCCTTAGTGCTGATCGAATTCCATCAGACAAGCTGCCTGTGAAGTTGATTGGAAAGTGACAATTAAAATGCTGTCTATTCATTTATCCTGTTTAAATAAATAATCATTGTTATGTCTACTACATGTTCAACATAATACGATACAACAAAAACACATGTTTACAAGCCCAATCATATTCCAACCAAGAAAAACATTAACCACAGAAACCTACTAACTACAACATAACTTAGAAAACCTAAGATATGAAGTGATAACTAAGAACCTTCCAAAAACAGAATGTTTTTTATCTGTTGTTCGACTTACTATTATTTTAAACCCTATAATTCTCCACTATTAATAAATTGCAGATATTTCAAATACAATACACGGAAATTAACAAACACTTGATAATATTTACTTGTCTTAGTTCAATTAACGAATATTTTTTACTGTCACACAGAGATTGTTTGATCACTTCATTTGTGAATGCTTCTACAAGTTTATTTGCTGGAGTTACTGTATTCGCTTATCTTGGTTATTTGGCTCATCTTACTCATACTACAGTACAAACTGTAACAGGAGAAGGTAAGAATGATATTCAGTAAACAATGGTATTGTATATTTATCACATTGTTGGTACATTTCATAAATCCAATTTTGAGATAAAACCAATGAATTATAACTGGCCATAGCTAAATGAAAATTCTACTAACGTTAGTGAGAAATCAAGGAAATGTATTACTATTCGTTCACCTGTAATTCATACGATTTTAACTTCGAAATCACAAACCAATCTAAGTTGGACAACCATTGAAAATCAAGAAGTGATGGTTAGCTGTTTTTTCCTAGTATGGGATGATCAACAGTGTGCACTAAAACTGGAATTAAAACATTGTTGAGTGAATACTAGTTCCGATGGTTGTCTTAATTAAGTTGGTTTTTAATTTCAGGAACATTCAACAACCTCTACAAACCGCCATCCTGATAGTTATACAATAGTCTTAAGTGGGAAATGATATCTATTTAAATGAACAAGAATTAGTTGAGATATTCAAAGTCTGGAGTTTACAAATTTCAAATGGATTTTTCTTATACAAACATAAAATCTAATTTATAAAATTAAATGGAATGAATATTAAAGATACAGCACACTCTGAAAAAAAATTGTTTACTTATTTTTTAAGTGTATTTTCTTCATTATTTGCTAACATCATTTGAAGAATAATTGAAAACCAACTAGTTTTGTACAGATAATTTATAATACATTGGTCATATCACATCACTGTATATTCTTAAATGTGTACTTATTCATACACAAAAATTTACAATTTCATGGTTAATTCGTTAAGTTATAATCAAAACGATTCACATTTTCCAACTTCAATCAATATGTTATTTGTAATACAACTAATAATCATCTGAATTGATAGATAAATACTGCCTTTTATAAACTAAAATAAATAGATTTTCAAGTCTGTAACATTAGAAATGTCCCGTGAAATAACACAAATACGTACATCTAACTATAAATAGCAAAGTGATTAAGATAGAGAAATTGAGTTAAACAAAACTTTAAGTCGGAAAATAAAATAAAATTTTTCAGACTAAATGGAATAACATAATAATAACAATAATTAATTCTAGATAATGTGAGGTAATATAAAACAATCGAGCAAAGACAGCAAAGATATTTTTCAAGACAATGTCATGCAATCCCGTCAGATTATTGGTAAAACTTGAGAGAAATAGGAATATTCCTTACTACACGCAACAAAAGTAACTGGCACAACAAGCCTAGTTAATATTGATTTTCTACAAATGTTTATTATTTTTTAATTACTTTATTTATATGCTTTTGTGCAATCATCGAATAAAAAAGGTCCAGGATTGGTATTTCAAGTTTATCCATTAGCTATTGGAACTTTACCTTTCGCACCATTATGGGCAACAATATTCTTTCTGTTACTTATAATGCTCGGATTAGACAGTGGAGTGAGTTGTGAAATTTAATGAAACACTTTTTGTACTATATATATATATATATATATCAAGATTTGAATCAACCTATTCAATATAAGTTCTGATTTTTCTAACTCATTGTCTTAGACCAAGGTAGATGCTAGTAAGGTTCAAGTCTGTAATCCAAAATTAAAAGCCAAGCGTGTCTTAACCATGAATTGATTGATTCATAAACGAAAATAACGTAAAAAGTACAGTTACCGAATAAATATTTAAACAAAATGAGTTATACATTTACTCATATATTTGGCAAATAAACTATTTAACCTTAAATGATTTGTGATTTATAACTCTTTAAAAGCAGAAAAACACATATCTATTTATCGTTACATATTTGCATGTAAATAAATATTAAAAGTCGATGATTGCTACTAGCAAATGTAATTAATCAACTGACCTCAGAAAAGCGCATCCACGATCCTGGACATAAAAACCGAAAGCAGGACCTCCGATCTCGCGCGAACGCTTATGCTCTAGATCACCGCCGAAAAGTCCTGTACTGTGGCAAAACGGCTATTCTGCTTCCAGGTTTTCAATGATGGTCCAACATTGGTTAGTTCATGATCTCAATAAAAAAAATCAAATTTTATTTGTTGTCAGGAAACCGAATATGATACCGGCTTATAATTTGATACATACAATTTGTTTGTTCTTTTAAGGATCTAAAGTCAAATAATTGCATCAAAAATCTGCTCGTGATCTCAATAAAAATTCAACAGTTTCCATAACCGCATGCTGAAATTTATATTAGTATATGTGTATTTGTTACAAAGATTTACTTTTATGATTAAGATGTTCGATCTTCATTTAGTTTGTTATTTATTAAAATCTCGTCCTATGATTTTTTTACATCTCTAAAACGGGGTGGTACAGATCATCACTAAGTGTAATTAATAAACAGCCAGCTATAATATACACGGTCGTTGCAATTAGTTAGCTTACTAAGTATGATCTAGTTTTGTAATATATAGGAGCAGCAAACCAGACCCTCCCAATCTATAACAATAATAAGACCGTAAACATCAGTGAAACTGCATCAAATAATTAAAAATCGTGCATAGGTAGATCAATGTGAACAATCGAAATTCTTTCCTACTCGCTCGTGCAACAACTTCAGCTATTTCGTTAATTTACGAGTACTGACAGTGCTTACACTGTCAGCCTGATCACGGCTTTGGGGGTTACTGGAGCAGTTGAATTGTGTTTGACCCCCAGTAACTCCACATTTAAGTCATAGCTTTTTCTCGAACTGTGCTGTTTGATTTTTCCATAATTTTAATGACATTTTCACCCTCTTTCCTCCCTCTCTTCGCATCAATTTAATGATATTTTTAAGGGTCCTCTGAAGCTTACATTGTACAATGTATATCAAAATCGCAGTTTAAAATAGTTAATTTTCATTAAATCACTTTATTATATCGCCGAAACATTGTTAATAGGTGTCACCTTTTGTATCAATTATCATTTCAGATGGGTGGATTAGAATCCGTTGTCACCGCTTTAACTGACATTGTACCGAAGAGATTTTCACGTTACAGACATTTACGACCTTTCATTACATTGGCTGTAATTGGTTCGGCCTGTTCATTTGCCTTCATTAATGTAACCAGTGTATGTATTCTAGTCAATAATCTTTGACCAACGTATTCAGCAAATTCAAAAACTTCAGTACTGAATAAGTCATCACAACTATTTGGTTTTAGTTTTTAATCCTTATAAATATAGTACAAACTCATTTAAGTAGATAAAAACATAATTGGTGTATCACGACATCAGTTCAAAATGATCCGACTATAAATCGATTTCTTGTAGACTATGGGATTAAGTAACACGTTTATAATAGTACTACAATTCTACTTTAAATTTTAAACGAGCTAGTGAGTTTTTTCATGCAAAATTGGATATTGGCTTGCAGAGGAATCCAGGACGTGCTTTTCGTCCTATTTGGGACTCGTCAGCTGGATGTCTCTGCATCGTGGAGTTGATGGTCACTGGGACTCGAACCCAGTACCATTCGCTTCGAACGCCATCGCGTTATCCACTTAGCTACTGAATCCTGATAGCCAACTGCTTGTGCAATGGGGTGAATTTGAATTCACTTGTTGTCTTATTTTTATCTTCCGATTGTTATTTAGGACTGAAATTTATAAGTCTCATGTTGGCTTAAAAAGCTTGTAACTTAAGGCTATATCAAGGCAATCCACACAGGATGCATATGTGCCAACATGAGATTGATCAATTGCAGTCCTAAATAACAATGGGAAGATAAAAGTAAGACAACACCAAGTGAATTTGAGCTACTGAATCGTTTCAGAAGTATGAATGTATTCACAAAGCTAATAGCTTTCACCAATACTATTATTCTTAAAATGTAAGTGGTTGATTAACGAATGTCGATTTGGCATGAGAATCACTTTTCTAAAGCGTGATCTTACCTCATCTAGTTTTCGTTAAGATAGTATGAATTATTTAGGGCTATATTAGCTGTATTACCGGATTATATTGCCTGACTAAAAAAGCTATTAATCTTTTTTAAAGACACCATAACGCTGTGATATCATTAATTTAAATTTTAACAGCCATAGAGGAAAATTTCTAGTCATACCTTTGACGGAAATACACTGTTAAGTAAAACAATTTCAGTTGTATAAACCAGGTTGCTCAAAGTTTGATAAGTACCAAAGTAATCAAAAGTTTTTATTTCACCAAAGAAAGTATATTGTCATTTTATATCGTGACAGTTAGTTGAAAGTACGGGAAACAATGGAACTGATCGGGAAACCGATTTCTGAAATATGTTACGTAATAAACTTGAAAAAGGCAGCCACCAGGCGAGTTGATTATATGTATTTCAGTAAAATCAGTCTGTCATCTACATCCAACATATTACCAGTAAAAAACTAGCTGAGGACGAAAGTGAAGGTAGGCAAGCTAATCTCCCGACCTGGCTTATCAGATGACATCATGTCCCCTAGATTCCTACATTTATCTCCATATGTAATTGTCTGCGATAAGTGGATTTTAGGTACTGTTGACAGTGATATTAATCATAGCAATTTAACCTAACAATTCGTATACAAATACTATGAAAGTCTAATATCCGGTCAGAACTACTGATCAGCTAATCTGACGTTAAATGTAAAATTCTGTTACTTCGTATGATCAGAGGAAATGCACATCTCAACAGAAAGCTTTAGACCTTGGTTTCATGAGATTTGGCGCTAATCAGCAAGGTGTACCTGTACTCTTGTAGGGACTGTTCCTCTTTGGTGTATCCTGTGTCACCTACACTTAACCACCTAACATTTCAATAGCAGACATTATATCGTCACTTAGATTAATAATCGCACTTCAACTTGTTCGATAAACTTCGATCATCACTAGAATGAAATAATCAAACGTGACACCAGTCACTACTACTCAGTGATCAATCAATGATGGATAACCTGTTGCTAAACCTGTTATGGATTGCGTTTTCTGAATGATGTGAACTTCCAATTGTCATAGTCGATAAATAGAATGCTAATTGACAAGAGAACACTATGATATAATGTGAGTGAGTGATGGATAGTCACGAGACCATATAATTAACTTGGTGCCCCGAATGATTACATAGAAGACCATTAGTCAGATGAATGGTTTTTCGTTCAATAAGATAGAATGCTCGTATATGAACACAAAATAAACATGAAGAAATGTCATAGGCGATTAGATGAAATTATATTGTAGGCCAATCATTCACTAAGATCTGACTAACAAGCCAAACATTTGGGCATCATATCAAAGCCTGATCGGACTTTCTTGTTAATTTTAAGGGGGGAATGTATGTATTCAACCTTATGGATCGATATATGGCTGGTACTGCATTACTCATTGGAAGCTTATTTCAAGTGATTGCCATAGCATGGTTTTATGGTAAGTCATAAATTATATGTTTATATAAGTTTTGCTTGCATTTAAGTTTTTCTCTATTGTATAGTATACCAGTTTATTCTGATCATATTAACTAATGGATAAACTGTAAGAGCAATTAATTCAATTTGTCTCTAGATCATCAGTGTTTAACGATTATGAAAACAGTCCATTTAGTTATTTTCATAGTTTCAGCAACAGACTGAACCTAACCAGACAGCACTGAAAACCTAGAAGCACAAGATGTCCGTTTCGTCCTATCACGAGACTCTTCATCAGTGTGGATACATAATTCCGTATCCGTGATAATTGATAAGTGGTTATAATCCGAGTGGAATCTAGTTAGAAGACAAGACGCGACATAACTGACATACTTGTGATCTATGATGACAAAAAGCCAAAATGAATGTGTTCGGTTACATAAGCAAGACTAGCTATGACTTGAATAGGTGAAGTTAAGCAGTTAGTCACAAACCGAATTACTGAATAAATAAAACAATTGATTATATTTTTATCAGTCCCCGTTCTGACAAAATTTAGTTTTTAAATCAGAGTTTATAAGGACATAAAGATCCGTAGTTTAGATGAGTTTCATTCTCTGAGCTGGATGGCTTATTCATGCTTCCATTCTTCTTCTGAACATTAGCAGCACGAACCTCAAGTAGAGAAGTTCAATAACAGATTCCTAAACATATCAGTCGTGTGAGAGTTAGCACTGCGACAACCGTCATTAATACAGTTTGAACTCAGCCGGTTAAATACCTGAAACTTATGTTGAGATCATGAGTCAATTGAAGTAAGACTACCATGGAAAACCTGGAAGCACTGGACGGCCGTTGCGTAGTATCGTGGGTTCGAGTCTTGTGAGGCGGGATCGTGGATGCGCGCTCCTGAGGAGGCCCACAGTAAAGCTAAACGGCCGTCCAGTGCTTCCAGGTTTTACATGGTGGTCTTGCTTCGATTCACTGATGATCTCAACTAGTGAAATTGCTATAATATTCACAAAAACCCATTCTGAAGGTTATGTGTACATATCAATATGCTGATACTAATAAGTTAAGTTCCAAATGTAAGGTGTTTTTATGAAATGTTACCTCTCATGCTAGTCATAACCATGTATTGACTTGTGATTAATTTTAAGATGACTCACTGAAGTCTTAACGAGAAACAGTGTACGATGGAGTTCGACCAAGTCAGGAGTGAGACAGGTATCACTTAAAATAGTGTTTGGTTAAGTTAAAACTGTTTATCATCAAACTCCAGAAGAGTAGTCTAAAAAGCAGCTACATTCGATCTCGTATGTAGTCATGTGTTTACTGTCGGGGAGCCCGGCACTGGGACAAAATAAACGTTCCACGATTCTTGGTCTGCAGCGATTTTCTATTTAAAGTCAGTTTCTGATGTAAAGTATAGTAAAATCAACAAATGGCAGAAAAATATGTAATTAAGTAAGGATAATGGTCGAGGTTGTCAGTATTTTTTCAGTCAACTAAAAATAACAGAAAATGGAAAAATATCCTTCCTGACACATAAATCAAATGTTTGCTGCAAAACATGAATAGAAGAGACCCGTTTTCCGAACTTTTTTTCAAGTCGACATTCGGTATAACTTTGTCATAATGGAATACAACCAAGAAGTAATATTAAGTATTATCGTTATAGGTATGAATAAACTTTGTCAAGATATTATATCAATGAATCTTCCCACACCTAATATATATTGGCGACTGTGCTGGAAACTGTTAACACCCATCACTTTGACTGTAAGCATATTTTATCTGGTCATTTCCATTTTAACAGTTAAATTCTCCTATTTAATATTATAAAATGAAATTTGATTTAGGGACCGTTTGTAAAAATATGCTATATCATGAGAAAGAAGCTTGCTACAGGCCTGCGCTAGTTGCAAATCACAAAACGATTGCGCTCTGTTTTGGTACGAAAGTGTTCTATAGGGACAGCAAATGACACAACAATTTACAGTTAGAAATTCATAGGCTAGCACGAGATAGAGAAAACGAAACCTTTGGAATAACGTTTCTATTCCGAACAAAAGTCCAAATTAAAAGGAAACAGCGGTTTATGTAGTAATGCTCAATGATCTTGAGAAAACAAAATTAATAAAGAACAAATGACAACAACTAATCGGATAATACCAAACATCAATACGGAAAGATGAATAAGAAAAATAATTACGGGGAAAAAACTAACATGTTGAAAAAAACTAGGTAACTTGAGTCCACCTTAACAAAATGTAAGAAACGTTGCATAAATTTATCATGCATAAAAATTGTAATTTGATTGATGATCCATATAGTTACTTTCACTTAGCTGAAATTAAAGTAAATGTTCGTTCAGAAACAAAGAACAAAAGACTATAAAAATGCAAAACAGTTACATGGATGTCGAATTAAGCCACTGTAATGAACCAAAGAGTATAATACTAATTATGAACTCGAGACAGACTATCTAATCAATGTTGAAAAAAAGATGAGTAATAAAGCAATTACCCTAAACCGTAATCTGATTAAGTCATAGAGACCTTTTTAAAAAAAAAAAGTAGGACAAGACGTAAGTACTCCAACCATACAGTAAAAAGTTTATTACATACATAGAGAGAGAAAAATATTTGAGCTACTTTAAAACCAAGAACTTTTTCGTACCTTTAATTAGACTGCACGTAAACTTTTACACTACTGCCTTGTGTTTATATATAAATAATCTATTTTACCATACAGATTTGGTAAGATTTTGTTTAGCAAACTGACGACACTTGTTGCACATCTATGCCATTCGAATACTTAAAATAATTCACTTTACTTTATGCCTTGTGAACCATTGACACATACACAAAAGGACCACAAATAATTTGTCACTGGAATAGAAACAGGATTAATACAGAAGTGTAGTATTGTGTATAAAAATGAGTCAATGACATTGCGTATCCGCAACGACTGACGTGTTTGGATACGTACCATTACACGTATTGTGCAATTACAGCTTATTGGTAGTCCAGATCGCTTGAAAAGTCGGACAAAACGCCGATCGAACCTAGAACTGGAAACGACTCACTTGATATTATTTGCTTGAACCTTGCATTGAAGTTTAAGGCTGTAATTGATCAGTCTGTTATTGGCATACGTGCACACTGTGCGTATTGCCGTAATTCACAAGCTTTATAAGCAAAGATGGATAGACTGATCGACTGCAGTCTTAAACCTCAATGGGAAGATTCCAGCAAATACCAAGTGAATTTAAATTCACCCCATTGGACAAGCAGGTGATTATTAGGATTCAGTAGTTAAGTGGATAACGCGATGACGTTTGAAGCGAATGGTACTGGGTTCAAGTCCCGGAGTGAACATTAACTCGGAGATGCAAGTACATCCGGCTAACGAGTCCCACTGTTAGCCGCTATCCATCTTTCCTTATAATTCACATGAATATTATATATGTATATGCAAAACGTAATTAGAGCGGCTCAGGTCGTCATTTTACATGTGTTCCAGACTCTGAACAGCATATTATTTCGCAACATCCTTTCATTTGTTGCTAACAAATTCACTTTATGGTATCAGTTTGATCGTTAATACCTTGGACTGTTTGGAACTTAGTGTTAATCATATATATACATGTAACAAAAATAAGATTTTATTAAGCACTGAGTTATGTTCCTTTTAGGTATACAAAATAAAATAACATCATTAGTTCCATATACTGAACTACATAAAGTTAGGTGTTAAGAGGTAGTCTGAAGGAAACAATGGATCTATGTTTCATGCTGGTTTGCACTTGCAAGCTTTAAGGAATTGATATTCCCAGGTGAAATCGAACCCACGTCACCTAGTTTCATAGAGATATCACCAATGAGATATTCAGGCTACAATTCAACTACATACTTTTCCTATTAGTAATGAACAACCGAGTGAGTATCATTTATCCTAATCAGGGATTGTTTTGTAATTCGCAAGGAATAAATATATTACTTAACAGAATACTACATCCCGTTTAGTCAGTATATGGGTTATTCACTTGATATTTTTCTCTTCGAATTTTCCTGATCAATGAAGGTTATGATAATCAGTTCACTGATAGATCCTACACCATTACAATATAATTATGGGGCAAAACATCCAGAATTATCAACTAATTATTCAGAAAGAGTAAATATCACTCTGCACGGAACTTCACAATTTTATGTTTATCCAAAATGGTCAATTTATTTAGGTTGGACCATGAGTGGAATATCAATTAGCATGATTCCATTGGTATTTTTCATTGTTTTAGTTAAAAATGGTTTTAGAATTAAGGTAAGTCATTCTGCTTTATTCCATAAATTCGGTCTTTTCCTTCTTCGTATAGAATAATAAATATATAAAATTGATAGCGAAAATAGGATCGATAAATTCGGCAGTATGTTCAAAGAAAACACTTTTTTTTTACATCCAATCACATTTAATTTAGGCAAACTTGAATTGCTTGTAAAGCTAAATATATTGTACATAATGCAATTTTTTCTAATCAGTCATAAATGGAACATAGATCTTGGAAAAAAATGACCATCAATTAGAGATTTTACACCTTATATGAAGTATGGCAAGAGTAGATATGTCAATAGATAAAGGGTATAAACAACAATAAAAAGATGTCGAACATAAAAATATATTGGATAGAGAATTATAGTAGAATCCACGATATGCGTTTCGACTTATTTGGGAGTAGTCAGTTAAATATACTTTCATTCAAGTATCAATCTTCACACTACTGAGAAATTTCAAACCATCCCTCGTAATATTGTTTGATTTCAGATTTGAACCGCAAGTAATACAACAAAAACTCATTTATATGGATAAATACATAAGTGACGCATCATCTGAATTCAGAAGAAATCAATTTCCTGTAAACTATGGAAAGTACTACGATTCTGTTCTGAGGTGTAAACGAGCCATTGAATCATTTCAGTAGTATGAATGTATTCACACAAATTAATGACTTTAACAGTATTATACTCAAAATTTCGATTGTCATTTCACTTGTCTATTTGAGATGAGAATCATATTTCTAGAGTACAACTTCACTGCACCTAGCTTTTATTTACGATAGCACTAATTATATGACGCTATACAATAGTCGTATATCTAGAAAAACTAGTCAACCGCAGTCCTCGACACCAATAAAGCAAAAACACAAATCCTCACAAACAGGATCAAGTTTGATAAAAAACGAATAGAAACGAAGACATAAGTAGTATGAAACAATCTGTATGACTCAAAAATGCATACATTTACATATGCCTCATTTTTAAGCTACACTATCCACGGCTCTACCTCGAAGAGTCGAACCTACCACCTTTGGTCTTGCGAGCGAACGCTTAACTTATAGACCAACTGAGCTGGCATCCAGTGTGGATGTCTAACTTATCATTTTCCCACTAGTTACTGGATTCGATAGGAAATTCTTGAATTACTAGTGAGAGGCCGTGACCAGTGGAGTTTAACTGTGTCAGATGAGTCATATACACCTCGAAGAGAATCGAAGATAGTCGCCCAATTGATTGAACCTAGACATTAATTAGCACAGTTGGATACCGGCTCAATTGGTTCAGACGTTAAGCGTTCGTACGCAAGATAAAAGGTGGTAGGTTCAATTCCTGCGTGAGGGTTCTTGTATACGCACCGCTGAAGTCCCACACTAGGACGAAACAGCCGTCCAGTGCTTCATGGTTCTCATTGGTGGTCTAACATCGACCGGCTCCCAATTTCAGTAAACTTCAACAATTTCCACAACCTTATGCTGACATATACACATATGTCGCTTATGTACATAGAATTCAGGTTTGAAAAGATAGTTTGCTAACGCCTATGCATTTCACAAGTTACCAATTTGCGCTCCTTTTAAGGCAAATCGTCTGATAGTACATATGATTTCGGAGGACTTATTAATTGAGGACATGTGACCAGAGTTCATACTGGATAAACTTGTAAAAACTTTAACTTCCAATAATCAGATTTGCAAAATAACATGTAACGACTTTTTAATTTTCAATTATACATTAATTTACAGATCAGTGAAGTTTTCTCAATGGGACCACTTGATGTATGGCCAGTCAAGAAAAGAAATCAAATATGTAATCGATATTTCAACCGGAGTGAAGGAAACCATGACAAGAAATGTACTAGGAAAATAAATGATGATAAAAATATACAAAGTAATCATTATGAATTTACAAGATAGGCAAATTAAGACCTAGAGTTTATCAATTCATACATAAGAAACATTTACAATCACAATCTACCAGAACAATTACAAAATAATTAAAACGACAACTACTTAATTGCCATTTCAAATATATTTATCATATTGATTTATGCACAGGTCGCTTACAAATCCGATATTCCTAACTCTGAATCCAGGATATTTTAGGAAATTCCGCAAACAAAATATTATATGAATTAGTTAAATTTTAATCGCTGAGAATATTTAAAATATAATTTTCACATATAATGACTATTATATGAACAGTTGATTTAAAATAATTATTTGTTGTCTCACCCGTAATAACAATAAGTTAAAAGTCTTAATACACATTTATTTTTCTTGTCACGATAGTTATTAAGTGATATTATTAGACGGTTAGTGTCCAGCCTGAAACATGGAGGACACACTGAAGATGATCAAAAAGAGACTATAAAGAAATGAAGGGAATATGAAATGTGGAATAGAACAGTACAGAACAAATCAAATTAATATGTAGTGTCGATAGAAATAAATAAGCGTACTTACCATGACCATCTACAGAAACACGGTAGTGATAAAGAGTAAAGGATATAAAAATAACCAAGGGTTGGCAGATATATAAGTTATGCAAGACGATTGGGAATGAACACATCCATGGCAAATACTAAAACCTCTTATCTCTGGCTATCACTTACTGACGATAATGCCATCAAAAATAAGAATGTAGTCATAAAGAAAACAAAAAACCCTGCAGCGACTAAACTTACGAATTAGTACTGCCTTGATTAAATCATATTCAACTTTTTGCAATATATTTACTGATCAAAAAATATCCTAACTTCGTCTTTCAATATCCTAACTTATTGTAATCAATCTTCCACAATAAATGCTTTGAAGATAAGTACGCTGAATACATGTAACCCCTTCTGTTACCCACTTACAATATTTGTAGGATAGGAAATATATGTTTGTTAAAGGAAGACAAGTAACGTATACGTCTGTACCATGCAAACCTAAACTAAACCCTACAGCCAGTCAGTCAGTAACAACGTAGAACTTCGTACGTACGTACATCAGTTCGAGTTGCCGCACCACATTAGCACAGAGATGCAGTTGTAGATTCGAATCCCGTAGTGGTAGAGGTAATAAGAGTATAAGCAGTAATCGGGAAGATTAGGGTTTGAAGATGTTATTTAAAGAGTATAAGCCAGTGAAATAAATTTGGAAAGAGAAAAAGAGGATTCAGGAGATTAGAATTTGGGAGAACACAAAGAGTGGATACATCTGCACCATTGCAAACGATTTTGAGCCATGTCATTCAGGGTCTTTAACCATCGGTTGCTATCATCTCTCGGTCCCCCACCAGGTAGTCTACACCTACCAACATGACTCAGTCCACTTGTCAGTGACTTCATGGACTCGTGCTATGTTCTGGTCTGGCCGCCTCTAGCTTTCTTCCAACCTATTCCTACACCACAAAACATCGCTCGTCGAGGCAGTCGGTGGTTGGGCATACGTAATATGTGTCCCAGACATCTCAACTGATGAAGTTTCACTACTTCGTCAATTGATTTGCCATCCTTACCTAGTACCCGTTTCCTAACAACTGCGTTACTTACTCGATGGTCCCAGGATATACGAGCAATGTTTCGAAGACACCTATGATCAAATACTAGTAACCTACGGATGTCTCGCCTACGCCATAAATGACGCAAGTTGGCAAAAGCTAGTCGAGCCTTCCGTATCCGTGCTGAGATTTCGTCACACACCAGACCACAAGGGCTGATGAGACTCCCAAGATAAGTGAAGCGGTCGACACGCTCAACTACTTCACTTCCTATCATTAGTTCGAGTGTCGATGCAAACCAATCCGGAAGTAACATTTCGCACTTCGAGAGGGAGAATCGCATCCCGAACATGCTTGCATTGTTGCTTATAGTGGTCAGAAGACTGCATTTTGTCATCGTCTTCACCAAATAAAACTATGTCATCAGCATATTCTAAGTCAACAAGTGAATCTCCTGGTAGAAGTAAACCCTTGGAAATCTAGACGAGGAAAGTGTTATCTCTAAAAGTACGTTGACGACAAAGTTGGACAAGAATGGAGAGAGTGGACAGCCCTGACGAACACCACTTGAGGTAATCAATTCTGATGACAGTTCGCCATAAGCTCTCACTCTACCAGTTGTGTTCAAGTAGAGAGCCTTTATAAGGTTAATGTACTTCTTTGGTACTCCTTTCAGTGGCAAACACTGCCATAGAACCTCAAGATCAACAGAGTCGAATGCTGCCTTAAGGTCGAGAAATACTGCTATTTTGGGGCGTGTGAATGTGTGTGTGTGTTCTAGAACCTGACATAGTGGGTAGCCGCATAAGTGCTGGTGGTGGCATGAGTGATGAGATCAATGCACGTATAGTTAAAGCCAGAGCGGCTTATGTCAATCTGAGCCATCTTTGGCGCCTTCGTGATGCTAGTTTGGCTATAGAAGGTCGGATCAACAACGCGTCGGTGAGAGCGGTTTTGCTCTATGCTTGTGAAACCTGGCCTCTCCGAGTTGAGGATGTTAGACGACTCTCTGTGTTTAATCATCATTGCCTCCGAAGGATTGCTGACATCCAGTGGTAGCACCATGTTAGTAATGCAGAGGTTCGGCATCGTGTGTTCGGGAACAGAGACGATAATTCAATTGGTGTCACCATCTTGAAACATCGACTGCGGTGGCTTGGACATGTTCTACGAATGTCGTCCCAGAGAATTCCACGTCGTGCATTATTTGCCGACTCTGGGACTGGTTGGAAAGAGCGGAGAGGTGGTCAGTGTATGTTTTCGCGGTATGAAAGAAAGCGGTACAGGACTGGCTTCTATCGGTTCTTGACGACCCCCTGGTGGGGACTTAAAGATGGTGCAACACAGTGGCTAGAGGCGTTATCAAATATGGCTCACAATGGAAGCCAGTGGCGATCATGCTGTAACTTTATTTACTTCCTTCATAAAACAATACGTAACTTCTTTAAGTGGCAGAATTCTCTGTGACTGTACTTTTACTGATTGAGCTGTCTCTCACATTATTATTATTATTTCACTCTCATGCACTAATTCCTATTCGTTATTGTTCCCCTTTTTCTTATACGCACCTTACATTCGTTATATCTTCATTCTCATTATTATTATTATGTGGCGCATATTTATACATATATATATAGTGCCTCTTTGTACCAATGTTTATGTGTTCAGTCAATCTCACTGCCAATACTGGACCTCCATCCTTATAAATCTTAGGGGTAAACCTGTCAGGGCCTGCTGCTCTCCCACGCTTCAGATTTCCTATAGCTTTTTAAACTTCGTAAAGAGTTGGAGAACTCGCCATTCAGGTCGACTGGAGATCTTGGGAAACTGAAATGTGGCTGAAGGCCAGTTGAACTGATCCCTAAAGTGTTCTGCCCATCGATCCAATCTCCTGGATTGAGAGTGAATAATATGTCCATCTTTTTCCAGGATAGTTTTGCTAACAGTTGGATTCTTAACACCGGTTTCCTTGACAAGTCTGAATAGTTGTCTGCTGTTGTCTATTGCCCACCACTGTTCGCGATCATTGCGTAGGCTTCTTATCAGCCTGCGCTTAAGCTGACTCCGCTCTTCGTCATGTTCAGAGCCAGATGGGACGAGTTTTCGAGCATCTATCAGTGCGGCGGATGCTGCTGAGATCCCGTGTTTCTCTCTAACCTTATGGTTTACCTTACTAGCAGATATCAGTGTTGTTCCCACAGCTTTCCGGATATCATTCCGCGCTGCCTCGGGATGGGCATTACTTACATAGCTGCCTAACTTTTCCTAGTTGTTCCTGAAATATATTCCTAGCTTGGCTATCATTAAGTAGGACCCTAAGAGGTTTCCTTGCAGTGTCTTTCCTACGTTCAGTAAGACGCAGACAAATACGCGCTCGCACTAGAACATGATCTGAATCCAATCATGTGTTCCAGAACGACCAACAGTCTTCTATCGAGCTCCTCCATCCGTGTCTGATAGCGATGTGATCAGGGGTTGCCATGCCAAAAGGTGTTTTTCCTTATACTAATAGCTAGTATTTGCAAGAAACAGGAGGTTATCTGAGCATAGCTGCAACAGACGGTCGCAATTATCTGTTCTTTGTGTCACAACACCATAAGGTTCACCCAGGTGTCTTTCCTTTTCGCTTAGTTTACCTACTTGAGCATTAAAGTCACCAGCCACTATTACTGCATCGGAGCGCCTAACTTTTTGGAGGTCGGAAAGCTTTCTGTACAGCTCATCTTTTACATCATCTGAGCTGCAGTCAGTGGGAGAGTAGGCAGAGACAACGAGTGTCCCTACTTTTCCGATTCCTAACTGTTCCGTTTAGTCGGACAGTGCATAAACGACTGTCTACTGAGATCCAGTCTAAGAGAGCTAGTTCTACCCTAGGACTCAATGCTATACCTACGCCAGCGAGGCCACGGGAAGCAGCATCGGGGCCTCGAGATACATGAAGTGTGAATCGAGATGATTCTTTACTTTGATATGGTGAGGTCAAATGAACGACGCTACTCTGATTCTGTGTAAGCGCTACGGAGACGCAGTACACATCGATGGCGCGAGATTTAAAAATCCTAGCTAAGGAAGCCTATTGTCCTATTTGGCACAGTGTTCGGACTTTAAAATCTCCTACATGTAGTTTAGAACGTAGTTTCAGAAGACCAGGAATAACGTTCCGCGTACTCGAATCGTTTTCACTAGCGGTGCGGGATGATGAAGTAACGTGAGAAGGGTTGGCGGTGGAGATGATAGAGTTATTAGGAGGTGTAGGAAGGATTTGATTGTGACCAACTTGACCTCGTCTGTTGTTAGGGGTATGAGGGCTCATGTCACTTCCCGGCTGCCCACACCGTAGAAGGGTACCTCTTAAGGAACCACCTTAAAGGGAAGTCGGATTAGTGTTGCTCTTAACGACCTGGGAGCGTGACCACAGAGCCCAAGGGACAACTGCTTGAGGC